TTTTTTTTTTTTTTAATCGGGATTGAACTCATGACCTTGCACTTGCCAGGCAAGCACTTATTCCACTGAGCTATCTCCCCAGCCTGGGTCTGGTGCCCCAGGAAGTCATAGCTTCTATCTTGAGGCTCAATCCCAACTGACAGCATGGAGCATTGGCTCTTCATCCTGTCTTGACCTGGTTCATATTGGATAGTAGCAGGTGTGGGTTATCAGGGTAGCACACATACCATCTTCAAAAATTTCCACCAGCACCCTAGCTAGACCAATATACATTGCTTAAGGCCATTTGAAAGGATAAAGAGAAGTCCTAGCCAGCCCTGTACATATGAATACATGGAAATAGGATCAGGCTCAGCCAAAATGAAGATAATCGCTCTTCTTTCAAGGAGAGCTGCTCAGGTGGTCCTCCATATTGAATAATATCTCTTCCATTTATGTGTTGTAGTACCTTATAATGTCATCTTACCTAACAATAAAGGCATTGAAGATATAATTAGTTAAGATGAGATCATATTGGAGAATGGTGGGTCCCAACTCCAGTATGATTGATGTCCTTATAAAAAAGGAAAATTCAGACATGCACACACACATGCACGCACACACACACATGCACATGCACCTGCATATGTACACATGCATACCCTGAGGGAAAACATCACATTAAAATGAAAATAAATATTTTGGGGTGATCCAGATGTGGGGGTGCATGCTTCTGATCCCAGCACATGGGAGACTGAGGCAGGAAGACTGTCATGAGTTCTAGGCCAGCCTGGGCTACCTACTAAGGGGGGGAGGAGAGAGAGAGAGAGAGAGAGAGAGAGAGAGAGAGAGAGAGAGAGAGAGAAAGAGAAATTGGAGTGAGACTTCTATAAGTCAAGAATCACTGAAACTTGCCAGTGAGTCCTGGCTAAAGATTCTTTTTCACGAAGCTCAGAGGGAACCCACCCTTGTGGTCACCTAGATCTAGGACTTCCAGCTTTCAGAACTATGAGATTATACTTTTTAAAAAAGCTATTAAATCTGTTTAGTAAAGACAGTTTCATTCGTACAGTTTACAGTGGTCTGGGGGCTGGACCCTATCACAAACAAGGCAGGCACTGCAGGCACCCAGGGCCCCCTGTCCCCAGGCCCAGAGAAGATACAGGTGATGTCCACCACCAACCCTGGTGAGCCAGCCACTTGAGAAACTCTTATTGCTGAAGAGAGCATGCTGTTCTGCCATGGCAGCCATAGCTCACCAACACACCATGTGTGGTAGATTAACTAATGGTCAATTTACAATCCCTAGCTGAACTGAGTCAGTGTGGTTCTGGGAGTGGGAGGCCCAGCTGAGGATTGTTGCCAACAGCATAAAAAGGAAAATGGGAGTGGAAGATGGTGTCCTGTTGTTCTGCTGAAGAAGCTTGTCACGCTGGCTTTTCTGATATGAAGGTGGCTCCTCATCATCAGAGGAGCTTGGGCCTTTGCTGTCACACAGGATGGCTGTGCTTCTCTTTGGGAGAGCTCAGGGCCTTACCTTGAGTGTTGCTTCCTGGCTCCTGTTCAGATCCCTCAGTCTGCTGGCAGAGAGCCTTCACCCCACTGGCACAGACTTTCTAGCTTCCACCACTGACCTTTGGGCCTTTCCAGTGCAGATCCTTGATATACACTCACATGAGATGGTGTCATGAGCTCTAGGCCTCCAGCTGGACTCATGCAGGGTATTGATGTGGGATCCAGGCCCTCAGCTGGATTCTTTGCATCTAGTACGTGCACAGATCTCTTGCCTTCGTCTGCATGTAACTCTTTGGGTGAATATTATAAAATAATCCTATAAATTATGTGTCCTGTAGTGAATCTTTCTCCTTGACATCCAGACTACAACACTATGTAGTTTTGAGCTCCACAGTCTTCATAAGTGTTGGAAGAAGGGTACTACTACATATGCCAGCAGATTACAGTGAGCTGAGTTGTGCTTATCCTGTTGTCAGAATGACTTATTTATTCTCCACTACTTGTTCAATGCAAGCTTAGGGAAGGCAGTCATTGTAGTTACTGTCCTTTGTTATTTCCAGTGGCTGCACAAATATTTGATTAACATTTATTAAATGATGGAATGAGCTATGTAATGGAATTGAGAGGCACATCAAGGTCTCTAATTTTATTTTATTGTATTTTGTATTTTAGTAAGGGTCTACAGGGTCTACAAGGTCTCACTACGTAGATTGGACTCATAGTGATTCTCCTGTGTTCAGACTCCCAAAGAACTGGGATTACACAAGTGTGCCACCAAGCCCAGTCTCAGTCACCATCTCGGCGCACCCCTGGGAGGCGGAGCTGGCACGGCATGCTGGGGATCAAACCCTCGCCACTGCATCTACCTAAGCAGGCACTTTAATCCACTGAGTTATTTGGCCGGCCCCCAAGGGGGGGCACATTACTATTCAGTTTATGCTCCACATTTTTGAATCTCTGGTAAGCCTGTGTATAGGTATGATCATTATGTATTTTTGAATTGGACCACTCATTGTTTAATGTCTGTCTTTATCCCAAGTAATAAGAATTTTCCCCCCAAATCTACTCTAATGTTAATGTAACCACTCTAGGCTTATTTTTACTAGTAATTTCATAGGATATATGTTTCCACCTTTTTATATTCCTATTTCTATGTTATAAGTGGGTTTCTTTTTTAAAAAATATATATATATTTGGTACAGGGTCACTACACAGCTGGTACTCAGTAATCCTCCTGTCTCAGTCTCATCAATGCTGGGATTACAGGCAAGTGCCACCACACCTGGCTTCTAGGTGGGTTTCTTATAAATAGTATATATTTAGTTTTTTCTTTTTGTCTTTTTAAGACAGGTCACACTATGCAGTTCAGGCTGGCCTCAAGTTCACCTTTTTTCCCCATAATTTTATTGAGAAACAAATAGCAATGAGACAATGTCAAACCAAATTAGTAGGACAGTTTCAATAATTAACACATTGCATACATTTTTCCTAGTGGTTAATTGCTGTACAAGATGCGGACATGATATCCTATTTACAAACACTATTAGAACAAATTCTTCTATTCATTAAGAGAATGTAA